GTGTTCATGGTAGAGTACTGGAACTTGGTATGTACAAAATATATAAAATGAATCGCATAGTCGTTAAGAAAAAGTGGTACTATTGGAAAAAGGGGTGTGGAACCTCCCACAAAAAAGGAGTTTTCCACACTGTATATCTCAGAAAGTGTTCATGGTAGAGTACTGGAACTTGCTATGTACAAGATATGGGTATTTCCATATGTCGCATACGTGGCAGTCGTACGTTTCAATGTGATACAAAAAAGAAATACCATTTGTGCCATTGTGCCATTGTATAGCGGATAATTAGCTCTATATTTAACCGAAAAATTAAAACAAAATGGAAGTTGATTTTTTCTTTTCTTACAAAATCGCAAAACTCTGTGAATTGTGGATGGCTATTTTCATGAAACTTATTTTAATATGATTGGAAGCAATTCTAGTTGTTTTTGGAGTTTTTTCAATTAATGCAACTTGTTTAAATTTTCTTTTACAACCCCAAGTGTGAAACCTCACGTGACGTGGCGTCACGTGACATAAATTTCCATCGTTATATTTTTGTTAATATTACTTTTAAATGAATTTTTAACGCAAAAAAAAATCATGTATTTTATGTCGAATATACTTTATATTTTGACCTTAGCGCAAATTCAGGGTACATTTTTTGGAAATCTATGATTTATTATGTTTCAACTACATACGCCAAATTCGAACCAAATCGGACAATAAATACGGTTTTTCGAAATATCTCGACCTTGGCGCCACCTAGGGAGACAATTTTACGCAAACACGATTCTACTTACATAGCCAGTATATATTTTAAAAAGCAGACAAATCGGCCCGTATATACGTTAGATATAAGACTTTGATTTTTTTGTCGTGGTGGACCTTCTGATGGATACACCCATATATAAATCAATCGCATAGTCATGAAGAAAAATTTATCACACTGCCTATCTCTGGAAATGTTCGTGGTAGAATACTGCAACTTGGTATGTACAAGATATATAAAATCGATCGCATAGTCATGAAAAAAAGCGCTATTGGAAATGGGCGTGGCACCTCCCATAAAAACGGAATTTTTCACACTGAATATCTCTGGAAGTGTTAATGGTAGAGTACTGGACCTTGGTATGTACAAGCTATATAAATTCAGTCGCATAGTCATAAAGACAAATTGGGCCTATTGGAAAAAGCGGCGTGTCACCTCCCATACAAACCGAATTTTTCAAGCTGCATATCTCTGAAAGTATTCATGGTAGAGTACTAGAACTTGGTAAGTACAAGATATGTATATAAAATTAGTCGCATAGTGATGAAGAAAAATTGGGGCTATTGGAAAAAGGGGCGTGGCACCTCCCATAAAAACGGAATTTTTCACACTGCACATCTCCGGAAGTGTTCATGTTAGAATACTGGAACATGGTATGGAGATATATGAAACCAATCCCATACTCTTAGAGAAAATTGGGGCTATTTGAAAGGGGAGCGTGGCACCTTTCAAACACACCGAAACTATTACGCATCTTTGTATGCATGTACACTTTTGCTATGTTATTTAAGACGGCAATAGAAACATGCCTTCTGACAACCACCAGACCGTAATATTAAAAGATAAATGCGTCACTGAAAATCATGAACGTGAACTGATGGTGAAAATGTTGGACCACAATGTTTCAATACAAAACAATTATTTTGGGCGTGTCGAAGTTCGCCGGGTCTGCTGGTATTTATATGTAAACGTTCTTTTAGTCTTTGCCGTACGCATATGCTTACACATCAAATTTCATGAGTAGTTCATCACTAGTACTCACGCCTTTTTTTATTAATATTCACAGTGCAGTTAGAAACTTTAGGTAAAACTTATTATTTACGACAGTTATACTTGTAATATCTCCACTTCTTTCGTAGAATGTTGCACTATATAAAACATAGCTCAAATGTTAACACAAGACTTACATTACATTTTGATCAATAATGTTAAGCGTTTTCGCAAAACATTTTGTTAAACAAAAACGCTTAAAATGTATGATAAAAACGGAATAAAAGTGTTGTGTTATAATTCGTACTATATTTTTTACAGTGTGGAGAAAGAAAGCAATCGCACATTCTACGAAGCAGATTTTACGAAAATAATTTTGTTAAATATGCAAATTTTTTTGTGCATTTTACAAAAATTTCGTAAAAAACAAAGAACTAGCAGGAAATTCGTTAGTAACTTGTACGAAAGCATCCGTAAAATGTACCAAGGATCTAATGTCTCATATTTTCGTAGTACGTATGAATACGGTTTTGTATAATTAACGAAAACTTTCGTTGCTCAATATGACGAAAAGTTTCTTAAGATGTTCGCCAGTTTTCGTTATATTAGGTTTGTATAGTAACTTCTCCAGCAAAACATTGCAGCGAGAGCGTAAAAGCAAAATAGAGGGTAAAATTGAGAAGAAGAGAAAACTAGCAGAAAAAGTTATTGAACGCAAAACTAGTAAAAACTTGCAAGTGAATAGTTGTTGCACCCTTTTGATTTACATAAATATTTTACTATTTATAAATCAGTTTTAAACTCTTTGCTTTGCACAGTCTAGTACATCATTAATATTTTGATTTCCACTCATTTTACTTTTGTTTGTGCTAAACCAATTCAACAAATGGCGGCTTTTGACATTTATTCTTCTTCTTCTTCTGCTAGCTAATTTCTGCTAGTAAAAATTTCACTAGCAAGAATTTGCAGCTCTCTCGTGTTGTTACGCTCTCGATTCAGTGCTCTCTTGCAAATTTTTTGGGTTATCATACNCTTTTCCAGTAAAAATTTGCAGGTTCCAGTACAAATTAGTACTGACTATTGGTTACTATACAAACCTATTTACGCAGATTTTATTTTCTGTGTAGGTACATACTTGTGGATTGCGTTGCTCAGTTACGACTCCATCTGGCATAGAGATGCCTTCCTTCTGTAATCGATTCAAAAAGAGACGGTCAGTTTCAAAAGCTGTGTCAGGAATTTTCCCACCTGCATGTGGCAACACTTGTTCACGATATATTTGACGTTTCTGAAAAATAAAATAACACAGATTTTTCAATAGTTATTTACTAGTACCATTGATAAATAGTGGTTTCGTTAAACAAAACTAAGTCGTTTTTTTAGATACCTAGAGCCTCCTACTTAGTTTTATTCAATTACCCTCAGTTTTCCGAAAAAATTCACTG